AGGTGGATTTCTGTGAGTTCAAGGCCAGCCTGGTCTACAGGACAGCCTCCAAAGCTACACAGAGAAACCCTGCCTCAAAAAACAAAACTAATAATAATAATAATAATAATAATAATAATAATAATAATAATAATAATAATAATAATAATAATAATAATAATAATAATAATAATAATAATAATAATAATAATAATAATAATAATAATAATAATAATAATAATAATAATAATAATAATAATAATAATAATAATAGACGTCATCTTTGGCAGTCAGGCACAGTGCCATCTGCAACCCCAGAATCTGAGGGACATGCAGGAGGATGGTAAGTTTATGACCAACCTCCATGGCCATGTCTCTGAAACATAAAGATAATCAAAACTTAAAAGCTGCTTTCATCTTGGTAGGTAGATACAGGAATTATACAGCAATTGGGGGCCATGCTGGCACTTTATGCAAATGAGACACTAATATATCGAAGCAGAGGTTTTAGGATTTGTGGGTGGCCTCTGGGTGTTATATGTATAGTATGTGTCCCAACTCTGGGGACAGTCCACAGTTATAATCAGATATTTATTTATTTATTTTTAAAGCGTTTACTCTTATGCTTATTCCAGACCCTTCCTCTCTCCTTTTTTAAAAATTGTATTTATTTTTATTTTCAGTACATTGGTGTCAGGTCCCCTAGAACTGGAGTTACAGAGTGTTGTTAGCTGCCATTGGGTCCTGGGAATTGAACCCAGGTCCTTTAGAAGACCAGCCTGGTCTACTTGACAAGTTCCAGGACAACTAGGACTTTATAGAGTGACCCTGTCTCAACAAAAAAAGGAAAAGGAGGAGGAGGAGGAGAAGTAGTTGTGGCTTTGAGATAGTGAGATGGCTCAGCAGGTAAAGGTCACTTCCCAAGTCTAGTGACCTGATTTGATCCTTGCAACCCAATTTAAAAGTGGAAGGAGAGTACTTACTCCACAAAATTGTCCTCTGACTTTCACACACATAACAGAGCACATGTGCTCATAGCACACATCATGTATACACACAGTAATAATAGTAACTTTATGAAAGGGCCAGCCAGATGGCTGACTCAGAAGATGAAGGTGCCTGCACCAAGTCTGATGATGAGAGCTCAATCCCTCCGACCTACATGGTAGAAGGAGAGAATTGATTCCCACAAGTTGTCTTCTCGCCTTCCCATGTATGTCATGACATACAACTCCCCATATATATGTGTGTGTGTGTGTGTGTGTGTGTGTGTGTGTGTGTGTACATATATATATATTCAAAGCTTTCAAAAACTTGGCCTTGTAAGTCAGGCATGATGGCACACACCTTTAATCCCAGCACTCAGCAGGCAGAGGCAGGCAAATCTCTGTGAGTTCGAGGCCAGCCGGGACTACAAAGCAAGTTCCAGGACAGCCAGGACTGTTACACAGAGAAACTCTGTTGACCTTGAGAATAGACTCGTTCAAGTCATAATCTACAAACATTTACTAATAAATGCACATGCATACACACACACACACACACACACACACACACACACACACACACACACCACATACTCAGGAGGGATGTGTTCATAGGCTACATTTGTGTTCTCCACTGTAGGAGTTCACAGTCTTTGCTTATCAATAGGATGAGAATGCTAGGCAGGCAGGCCCAGTCCTGGACCTTCACAAGTGATAGTCCCAATACCCTTGACGTGAGAACTCACTTGGCCTTCTCCTCCCGAGTTATACCACCACTCATCTCCTCCCTCGTGTTCCTTCATGGATTATAACCCACGGGCATGGCTGCCATTACCTTCCTTAGAGTTGGAGGCCTACAGGACCTGTCCTGTCATTTCCTGGTATTTCCTTGTCACTTCCTGGGCTTTGTGGGTAAGGTGGGTAAGGATGTGATGGAGGCTGGAGAAGTGCAGATGAAACTGGGCTTCTAGGTCCAGCTCCCCAGAGACCCTCTCGTCTTCAGCTTCCTCTGCCTCAACAGCTTCATTCTCAGTGTCGCTGGCTTCGCTACCGGCCACCTTGGCCTGCCACTCTTCCCTTGGCAGCAGCCCATGCTCCACTTCCACACAGATGGTCTTGAGCATGGTGAAGTAGGTATAGAGATCGGGGGCTCCCTCCTGGGCCGAGCCTCCGTGCCCGCTCAGCTGCACATCTCTCAGAAGGCTGGGGATCATCACCACCTGCTCCATGTTGCGCACCACAGCCGAGTACCGATCCATGACAGTCAGCAGGCAGTTCTTGGGGTAACGTTTAGTGAGCACTTGCATGGCTGCTTTCTTTCTCAGAGTCCAGAAGACTGCCCCAGCACTATTTCTAGGCTTTTGAGCAGACAGCAGATTGACAGGATGCCAAAGCCCAGCCACGGGATCAACACAGCCCAGTTTTAAGCCAATCCCAGGGTTTGGTCCCCAGTGTCTCTATCAGGTGATCCATCTACCCAGGGACAAACCTGCCAACCTTCTGCTTGTCATTTCAGGCCTGCATGACTGCCTCAGTGAGAGGCCAGCTCTTCCTTCAGCAGCTTGCCCAGCCAGTTAAAAGGAAGCTTTGTCCCCTTGGCAACTGCTATGATTGACTACAGGCAATCAATACTTCTTTTAGGTTATCTGAAGTCAAGTTGCGTCTTTACTGCTTGCTTCCCTCCTAATGCACGCACCTCACTTCTTCAACCTAGGAAACTGGCTGTGAAAAGAACACAGGAACGTATCCTGAAATGGAACAGCTTGGTGCAAGACAAAGAGCCCTGAAACCAGGGCCAGAAGTCCAGTCATAGTGGAGGTTGTCATGCTTAAGTCCTAACAGTCTCTGCAGGAGTACTTTTCCACCAAGCACCTGTCTGTGACAGAACTGCTGGCAGGACACATTAGCCCAGTATAGTCTTTATCAGTCAGTAGATAAAGACTTGGCATCAAATTGTTTCCTAGATTGAATTGGGAAAGAGCAGTTTTTCAAAATTAATATGTTAAGTTAAAGAATTTGCTAGCTGTGATGACTTGAACTGATAATGCCAGCACTCAGGAGGCTGAGGCAGTGGGATCACCATCAATTTGAGGCCATCCTGGGCTAAATAATGAGTTCCAGGCCAGCCTAGGCTACAAAGTAAAATGATGCCTCAGAGAAACCCCAAACTAAAACCAAAAACTATTGATGCTTTGGAGATGTAGCTCAGTGGTAGGCTTCATAACATGCAGGGGTTCTGCATTTGATCACCTCACCACAAAAATAATAAAGAAACAGAAGTAAAAGAGGTTTGGGGTTGGTTGGTCCATAAACATTTTATTTTATATGTATGAGTGTTTTGCCTGTATGCATGCCTGTGGTCCACATGTGTCTGGTGCCTGCAGAGGTCAGAAGAGAGAATCTGACCGCTGGAACTGGAGTTACTGATGCTGTGAGCACTGTGTGGGTGCTGGGAATCAAATCCTCCCTGAAGAGCAGCCAATGCTCTTAACCTCTGAGCCATCACTCCAGCCCCCTTTTAAGATGTATTATTTTTGCCAGGTGGTGGCACACACCTTTAATCCCAGCACTCAGGAGGCAGAGGCGGGTGGATCTCTGTCAGTTCAAGGCCAGTCTGGTCTACAGAGTGAGTTCCAGGACAGCCAAGGCTACACAGAGAAACTCTGTATCGAAGAAAAAATATTATTTTTATTTTATATCTATGAGTGTTTGTCAGAGAGAGAGAGAGAGAAAGAGGGAGGGAAAGGGAGAGAGAGAGGAAGAGGGAGGTTCATGCTTGATGTCTACAGAGGCCAAAAGAGAGTAAGAGCATGCTGAATCCTCTGGAACTGAATTTACAGATGTTGCAAGACACCATGTGAGTGCTGAGAGCGGAAGCCAGGTCCTCTGTGGCAGCAAAAAGAGCTCTTTTAAGTTAATGTTTTACTGATGGACTTCTAGCCCTATAGTCATATGTTTTATACTTTCTGGAGAGAATTTCTTCCAGTGCTCATGCTGAACATGGGTCCAACTTAAGGCCATGAGAGGCAGGACGCTGTCATTAGGGTCCTGGTGCCACTCACGGTTGCTGTGCAGCAGGACTCCCTGGGTCTAGCATGCTCCTGTAACTGAGAGGTGTGGAAATCTCCAGAGGAAGGCCTTTCCAGCCCTGGTTGTGTAACTCCTTTTGAATCCACATTCCAGTCCCTAAGGGCATTACCCTCTGCCTTAGTGCCCAAGCCCAGGGCCACAAAGGAGACCTGGCAAACAAAGTGTTCTGTTGTGGTCAGGACTGGGAGAGCTGCCTCCAACGTGGCATGGAGAACAGCCAGAAGGGCCCCTGGAGGCTCTGGAATGGCTGCCTCCTGTCTCTTTCACCCAGTGGCCAGGTCATCCCTGGGCTTCTTTCACTGCAGTTAGAAAACCCAAGGGCTAGTCTTTGCTATGGCCGCTGCACCTTAGATTCAAGGGCAGGGGCTCCTCCAGAGTATCTGGCCCTCATCCCTCACAGTTTTGTTGTTGTTTTGGTTTGGTTGTGTAGCCTTGGTGGTCCTGGAACTCACTCTGTAGACCAGGCTGGCTTCAAATTTATAGAGATTCACCTGTCTCTGCCTCCCAAGTGCTGGAATTACAGGTGAGGCATCCTTTGCCTGGTGTGCCTCACACACACTGTGCATTTTTAAATCCCATCTGAGACCGGCCTATTCCCAGACACGTTTCTGGGTTTGAAGCAGAGGGACGGAGTGAATGAGTACGCTAGTAGGGGAGGAAAATGTGGGTTAGCAGTCATGTGAGTAAATAAATGTGCACATGAACCAACACAGAACACATGGGAACCACAGGAGGGACTGAGAGGCATCTGCACGACCAGAGACACCCAGACAGCAGACTACTGAGCAAGATGGCCTCCAGATCTCCATGACAGCCAGGAAGCCCTGGATAAACTGTGACCACCCCATGTGTCATATCAGCTGACAGACTGAGCTGAGGGATAGCTCAGCTTGTGAAGAACTTCTTGCTGCAGAGGCATGAGGACCTCAGTTTGCTCGCCAGCACCCACATAAAGAGCTGGGATGCCAGCGTGTGCTTGTGGTCCCAGCACTGAGAAGATGAAAATGGGAACCTTGTGGCTATTGGGCTGGCAAGCCTTGCTGAATTGGTGACCATCAGGTCCCAGAGAGTCTCAATCCCAAAGGGTGGAGGGGCTCCTGAGGAATGACACCCAAGGTTGAACTTTGGCCTTTACATGCATGCATACACACATACACCCATACACACACACACACACACACACACACACACACTTGCCCAAAGACAAGACAGTAGTCCTAAGGCTGGATTCAGGCAAATTCTAGCATTAGACAAAAAAGGGAGGCGGGAAGGGGAAACATGGTCTTTAGGGGTATAGTGTTCCTGCTCTTATAGATGCCTTATCTGATTCAGCTGGGTTGAGGTTCAGCTGTGTTGAGGCAGGCACAAGGCCCTCAGTAAGGAGGGAAGTGTAGAAGCTGGCCTGATCCTCAAACTTCAGCTAATTTCCCTAGCCTTGGGCTGAAGAGATGCTCTTCAGGTAGAGCCTGTGCCTAGCAACAGTGAGACTCTAGGTTCCAAGATTCAACACACATTCTCTCTCTCTCTCTCTCTCCTCTCTCTCTCCTCTCCTCTCTCT